GGACTAATGCTAAGGGTTTCCTGCTGGTAAGTGTAAGTTCTGGGACCTGATAACAGAACAGTCAGGGTGAGTGCGCAGATTAGAAGGGCTTAGGGTCTATTTCAAAAAAGTATCTAGTGTAAGCTGAGGCGCGAAAAGGCGCTCAGCTCCCTCAATAGAAAGGTAAGAATCGATGGCCTTTCGAAAGCCAACGTGAGATGGGATAGTACGGATATGGGAGGGGAGCTTGTTCCATAGTTGAGAATAAAGGCAAAGGGAAAAGTTTTGTCGAGAGGCAGTTCAGCATGTCGACAGTGAGATTAAACATCCTGAGTTACGGATATTATAGGGAGTACGCGAAGAAAATTCAGGGCAGCAGTCGGCTATGTAAGCCCGCCGGTAGATTAAGCGATGCAGAAGACCTAAATTCAACCTGATGCGCCTTAGCCAAAATGGATCCAGCACAAATGATAAGCAGTGAAGAAGACAGGGTAGTTGTGGATGACACCAGAAACAGGGACTTGGTAAACGAGCGCTGCACATTCTCCACAGCAGTCCGGCACGTCTGTGAATACTGTGAGGCGAATTCAGGGCTGGATTCAAAAATGGGTTTTACAAATTGTTTAAAAATGGCAATTAAAAAGGATTTATTGTGGAAGGATAGGCGAATGTAAGCGCAGAGCTTGTGAGCTTTAGCCACTCTGTACCTTACATGTTGGTAGGCAGACCGTGGTTCTATAAGAGGTCATCGGTAAATAATGAGCAGAATTAATGGGAATCTTACGGCTAGACTAAACTTGGGCAATTAGCAACACAGGATGGCACAGAAAAGACAGTGTGTTATCAGACAAGCTGAATAGAAAAAAATGTGCAATTCAAAGTGGGACATAATGTTCAGCGAAAAACCCGTAAAGGAATGTGAACAAATGGAATCATGAAAACAGTATAAATGAACCGTTCCACGTGTTCACGGATTGATACACAGGATCGAGGTTTTGCCCAAGGTTTCCGGGTCGCTTATGTTCTTGTCGGTCAGTGGCTGTTGTTCACCTGAAAGGAACAAGTGGCAAAAAGGTGTAGCGCTGCTATTTATGTTCTGAGCGCGGGACAGTATGCACGCCAGCGCGAGGGTTTGCATAAATAAATGTCTAATAGTGCTCTAAACTGAGTTCTAGAAGGAGCGTGGACAACCGCCGGAGGAAGGTCATTCCACGCAGCTACTACCCGAAATGAGAAAAAATTTTGCCTAATGAATGCGTGTTTGCGCTGAGCTTGAAAAAGGTCTAACTATATCCCCGCCGTGTGTTTTCTAGGTCAACGGTAAAAAAACCTGTTTGCCAAGCTTTGTTCAAACAGGGCATCGGTGAGAACTAGGTCCCCTCGGAGGCGACGGTACTCTAGCGGAAAGAGATCAAGCGTCGCGAGACGAGTTTCGTAGTCCCCGGTTTTGAGGCTGCCAACAATTCTCGTGGCGGCTCTCTGGACACGCTCAATAAGGGTGCCGTCTTTCGTGCGTCCTGAGTAGACAACTTGTTTTATGTATTCCAGGAGCGGTATGACGCAGGCCCAGTCAATGTCTACATTGCATAAATTAGAATCGTTTCTTATTGTTATTTGAGCCGCCACCATAGGTGTAACAAATTCGTCTCAATAATAGAGAAACAAATAGTTACGTCACGTAATAAACGTTGGCTACATTCACCTTAAGGATAGTTGAATATGCGCACAGTCACGAAGATACCGAAACGTACCGTGATGTGTCGTCTTCTGTAACTTTGCGACCCACTGAGCTACGTGGAGGGTGTCCTCATGACATTCACTCTCTCACTCAAGCTCGTTCAATGATGAGGCTCGACGGACTCAGTCTCCTCTACTGCATGCTGGTGGTTGGCACGCGTGTGGCGACTTGTTCTACAAACGTTGAAATGCACCTGTACTTATCACCAAATACCGGTGCCTTTCGGTCGGGATTTCGATCCAAAGTCTTTGGCTGGTTACCCGCTCGTCCTTTTATCCAGGTATTCCAGCCAACATACATCTACGAACTGGACATGTACAAATGTAGTGCTGAAGCTTAGCCTCTTTTTCCTCCACGCACTACATAACTCCCTTCCCGTCACCCAAAATTTACTCTCCTTTTGTTGGCCAGCATTAAGGACTGATGACCCTGGTCTTCCTGCACCAACTTTGTAAGTAACATCTGCGCGTTATCCGGTAAAGATATTTTCATGAATTTCTAAATTATGTTTGTAATCCCGACGCCTTGTCTATCTAGTTGCTTTAAGTGTCCACATTCTGAAGAAGGCGAGACAACAAGGTGCTCTGGTCTAAAACTGGGCGCTCTTAAGATTGCTCTGAGTCGTGTATTGGGAACCAGAATTCAAGGTGAAAGCACGGTGATCCCGCTAACTGCCTTATCACTCTCCAATCGCTCCCGGCTGCGTATCTCTGGCGCTCATGAGGCTACTGCGATAGGATGTGCAGGTGTTGGTATCGTCCTAACTCACCGGGTGGAAGTACCCTTGCTTGATTGTCGTTGATTGTTGCCTCAGTAGGTTGGTCTGACAACGCCTGTGAATGAGCCAAACACATAGGAAGTTGGTCGATGTCCGTGCGTTGTGTCTTCTTAGGTCTCGACTGACTGGCACTGACGCCATCAAAGGCACGTTTGATGACACCTTGAATAGTTTTTTGAGACGAGCTTAAGGCGCAGATATCTTTGTGCTTCACTGAGTTCTGAATGTAGGAGTGGACAGACTTAGCGCATCTGAGACTCAATTAGGAGTTTGGCATGCGCTGGAGTTGGTAGGAACGGAAAGCCGTGAACGGTTGTTTCAGCTGTGCGATGACCACAGGCTGTTCATATACAGTACTAACTTCCAAAATAGCCGAACTTGTCTGGCCGCATGGTATCCTCCAACGGCATGCCGCCTACAAATCCAAATTGATCACATTGCCATCAGTTACCGATGGCGCTGATCAATAACTGACTGCCGGTCGTTTTGGAACATGTGTGGATCCCATTTGCGGACTCTTCTAGAGTCGCTTCTCCCTTCGTGTTCCAAGAAGCATCACTTAGAATGTGAGAGACCTGCAGACCCGAAGTTTGAACAAATTAGCCACAACCATCTCGTGAAGTCTCTTTCGGGACCAGATATCCGTTCGCATTGGGGGGCACACACATCAATTGTGCACACCGCTAGGTGTTTTGTTTGTGGCAAGGCGCTTGCACACCCACTCACTGGATGGTTTCCACGTATAGAAAGAGGCCATGGAGGTAGAGAATGACCGAAGATTCTTTCAATTTAGTGTGAGCGGCCAGTCTCTGGAAACCCCCTGTGAGTGGGACCAACAAGGATCAGAATGGAGCGACCATCTTTAATACAGAAGAAATCCTTTAACTTTGGGCCATAAAATTCAAACAACGGTTGTGGTGGCTGCCAGCTACCACTCATCTGAATCCAATGGCCGACGTAAAACCATGGGCTGTAAACGTGGGATCCATTGCGGGTAGGAATCTTTATGGCTGCATGTGGCTCCAAAGCGATAGCGAGCTCTCGGCTTGGAGGACATCTCATCCGCATTGTTCTAAGTTGCGGGTGAAGTCTTTGGGGGACGCATGTCTGACCTGAAAACCTCGGGTTGTGTCTGCTAAATTGATAGACCCGTGGTTTCAAAGCGCTCAGTTCCTGGATCTTAAATACCATATATTTGGGGCTGCAGTGTGGGATGTCTTTTTTGTTCGTGCGACTTGGTCTGTTCACGCGACGCCTTCCTAGTCAATTCGCTTTGCGTTGCAGGGTTTTTAATGTTAATGATTGCCATACGACAGCAAAGCATTATTGGTTTACACTGATGATGTTGACGACAAAATGTACGAAGTCACCAGTCTTAGGCAGCGCCCTGTCCGTGTGCTCTGTTATCTGCAAAATCACTATACGGTTTTCACCGGGCCTTTCTAGTTTACTCAACGCGGTTTTTCACAGTTTTCCAACCTGTTTTCTCTGGTGTTATGACATTTAGGCTGAATATGTAACGGCTAACATGATGAGACCAAACGACATTTTCGAAAGTGTAAATGACAGAGTGCAACAGAACCGCGCGCCATTGTTTGATTGTAAACAAGCAGATAATAATGTGACAGGAGATATTCAGATGAGTAGGAGGCGAAATGGTGTGAGTCTGACGGCCGAATTATTCCTGCCATCAAAAATCTGGCGATAGGGCTTGCATCCATGGCAGTTCAGCAGATTCGAAAATTCGGTTAAAAAAAACGAAGCCTAAAAATCTTATCACGCTAACCACCCACGATCGACATAGTGGCGGGTCACTGTCCAACGATCTTGTCGGCAGTGGAATACCTAGGGGCAAGATCCTGAGCGGAAGATTAAAAAAGAACAGGATGAACTCTAAGCTTTAATGTGCATCTTTTCTACAAGTAGGTTTGCTTCGCAAAACGATGGGTGTGCCGAAGAAAAAGCGAAGTATTTTTCTTCCAACCGAAAACTGTCAGGCATTCCTTCTGGGTGTGTCCGTCAGATGATGGACCTTCAGCCCTATGTATCTTGGTGACTCGTGTCAGTATGCTGATTGCGGATTTCAAAGTAAGGAAAATATGGCTAACAAATGTGTCTTTTGGTCCTGTGGAACACGCTCGAACACGTGGCTGCTGCACACACCCTTGCGAGGAAACGATCCGCTCGTGGCCGGACTTTCTGAAGGGTAATAGATCGCAGCTGCTGTAGAGTTGAGGGAAGGAGAGGCACGGAAAACACAGAGCGGTCATCCCAAAGTAAGTGCTGGAACTTATGATAAGGGATGAAACTGACATCTGTGTCGGAAAGACCGAACTGCCCTCGGGCGATCAAGGTGGTCTTTGAGGAATAAATCTTGTGCGCTTTAGATGAAACTACTGCTGTAAGCATTGAACATTGTTGCCGTCAGAGCTATCTCGCCTGATATCCCTCCATACTTTGTGGCTGCAGGTTGTCTACAGACTATTGGTTAAGGGTCCACCAATCATGGGGAAAGCTGCTTTCCCGTACGGCGGCCGGGGCTTGCTCGTGCGGTTTCTGTCCACCACGCTTAAGATGGCAAGGGAACCCATGAATTTTTCTTGGGTTTCGGACAGCGTTGCTGGATTCGCCTTTCCATATGACAAAGAAGAATGGGAATATTTATCTAACGTCGCCAAATTAAGTCATGTTATCACTATGTGCCACGAAAGCCCGCATTACGCCTCCGAATATCAAAGTATGTGCACACGTGAGGCATAGGTGTAAAATAAATCCATAGATATGAGTTATCGTTTCCAGTCACATTTTTTGTACACAATTGGGTGGGGTTTTGAAAGGTGTCTTCCTAGTCATTTCAGATTCAGGCTGGTGAGGACATAAAGTTTGTCTCGAATTCACGGATTGGTACGCATGGCCAGGCTGTTACCCAGTCTTCACGGGCCAGGCTTGTTCTTGTCGTTCAGCGGCTTCCGTTCACCTGAATGGCACAAGCGTAAAAGACCTTGGCACTGCTCTTTATGTTCTCAGAGCTGGGTAATAAGCTTGCCAGCGCGAGGGCTCACATAAAGACATTCAGAAGTGCTTTGGACTGGATTCCAATACAAATTGAACCTGCACGATAAATACCTCATTTTCAACTTTATAGTTATACACTGAATGGCTGAATGGCGTTTTAGGTATCCCTGATTTGTGTTAAAAACACGCGCATCACATGCATGTAGAAACCGTGTAAGTCGCCGAGGATTATATTAAAAAAAACTGCACCTTAGGCAATGACGGAGTGCAACTGGAACAAACACTCAAAAAGGCTGTTGCAGTGTATGTAAACCCAATTAATGTTCTATTTGTTATTAGAATCCTACGGAGCCATTCATGAACTTCTCATAGGTCACAAAAATGGAAAATCGAAAAGTTGTGGTAATAGTGATATTCTCCAACAACTGTCCGAAATGGCAAAATTTGTTATTTAATAAAAATTTGGGCTCTTAGCATAGGAATCTTATCGTGACCTCACCGTATATTAGTAGAAGTTCGTTGGACACAATGAAGGTTACGTTTTTCTTGTCATCAGTAAACAACTTAGTTGTCGTATTCCTATGACGTAGACCCCATAGAGTATTCGGAATTCTATGTGGCTAGTACGGGGGAAGGTGCGCGGAATCATCTATAGAGCAATGAATGCCTTTTGAACCGTTCATGGTGAGAAGGATGTGTTTGATGAGAGCCAGATACTTAAGTCCTTTTTAGTATCGGTCTTCCAGTCTTTTTTTGTCCGCTCTCCATTTGGAGGGCGCTGGCGTAGGGAATTTGCAAATATAAGAACCACAGGCCAGCCAACCTCTTCAGCGAAACGTTGGCGATACAAGGGACGTCCCTGGAGCGAAGTTAGGTGCCACAGATTTCCTGGATGTTAATTGATCGCTGGAGAACGGAACATTAGATGGGCCTTACGACTTCCTACAGAACCTGAGCATAACTTGCTTACCGATGGAGTTTCAGTGTTATCCTCCTGATCCATAAAGTGGACCTTGTCTAAGCATTATAGCACTTGTTAGTAGCCTTCAATTAAGGCTAAGGAGGTACGGATACTACCGTATCTCAGGAACATATGAGCGCACCCCGAGATCTGAAGTGCGCGCATTAAGGCGAGTAGTGACGCATTCTGACGTCCAGACCAAAATTCCCATTGTAAGCATTCCCATGCTGGCCGTGAATGGACACCGCCCGTGGTGGCAAGCTCACATAGAAAGTGTAAAGCACAACCGCAAAGTAGTTTGCCTGGATTTTGACCTGGATCAGGCCTCACTGTGTGACGAGTGCTGAGGACAGTGAACTAAAGCGACCCTTTTCGTGCGGGGTCTTCGTGAATGTGTAATGCAGTCTTTACTTACTGATGAGCCTGCTCCACCGACCCATTGGAAGGAGAGTGTTAGTCGTACAAGTGTTTTCTTCCAGCAGTCGGGAAAGAAGCTTCGTGAAAACGTGACAACCGGACTGCAGTGGCAGTAGCCGGACGGCAACCAGGCATCTTTGCTGACCGCGGCGTTATTCTCTCGATAATGGTGGTGGTGATATCCGTATTAGACAACCCACACTCAGTAAAATAACTAGAGAAAGTTTCCGCGTAACATTTTGGTGGCGGGATTATTGTAGCTACCTATGGAAATCGTTCGGCTGTAACACACTCGGTGCCTAGCTGCCATACGAACGGAAGGAGACATTAGTGGTGGGGCAGTGCCAGGTTGCCCAAGCCTAGACAGGGGCAGTCGAGGTACAGAGGTTGGGTTCGAACCACGGACCTTTCGATCAGTAAGTGCTCGTCTTAACCATTGGGACGTCTCGAGCTCAAAACAACAGGGTGGTGGGTGAGCCACAGTTCCAAACATATAAACATTCGTTAAGCGTAGCGCTGTCTATTCTGATGGCACATCCCGTCACTCCCAATGTGGGCTGGCTACCAACGAAAGCGATCACACCGAGAGCATCAGACTGGTAGGCACCCTGCAACTGGTGGGACAGCAATGCCACTTCCATGATCCAGAAAGCGTACCTTATTGCGTTAACCACCAGCGCATATTGGAATAAATCAAGGAGTACTCCAATGAAGACGTAGTGGCTCCCTGTCAAGACCTTAGCTACCAATGTATCATGACAAGCAACGTTCCGTTCAGACAGCAGACTTCTTCAAATTAACACAGGGACATTTGCACCGCATGGACCGTTTGCGGCGGCAAAGCCGAAGGATCTTTTGAGAGATAAATGATGCTGAATTGAATATTGGCTCTAACTCGTCTTTGGCCACGTAGTTTATTGGGTGCTACAGCAGTCGTCTCTCAGGAGTTGGGGATTGAGAAATCGTCAACAAATATGAGGAACAGAGGAGGAATTATGTGGGTAATCTTCGTGAAAGCCTACTTTGCTTCACTTTACTTGACCGCAAGTTTTCACTGGTGGAGGATGCTTCCGCTTCCCGAATCGCTGTTGTCTATGGAGGACAATCTTCAGCAACTTCCGAGCGTTGCCTCATTGAGTTTCTGTTGCGCTGCATGACGCTATTAAGCGCATGGAGACCCGGCAGTTCAACACCGGTTTTAACCGTTGAAAGGTTTCCGACGTCCCCCCGCTGCGGTAACGCAATTCTGAGCACGACATTGGCGACCTGGTTTTCGGAAGACGTCGAAACACCTGTAGGTAGCTCCACTGAACCAATCTGGAAAGGCTTAGGATAATATAACGGCGTTCCCTGACACCATCCTTAGATGCCCCGTGTTTCCAACGTACTGTCACAATTCGAAATAATCTTCAGTAATCAAAATATTCGGTTTTACGAAGATCTTTGGAGGGACAAGGTGTCCTCTATTTTACTCATGCGTTGTCTATGAGTAGTGAGCTCAAGGCTGATCGCCGTCTTGACAGTAAATTAGAGGCTGCCTGAGAACATCACAAACGAGAGATTCAGCTGGGTTACAGGTGAGTCTCTCGAAAAGACCAAATTAGTTTGCAGATGAGTGTATAACCGTTAATTTCGTGCAATTTGGTCTCAAGTAGACCATAAGGTTGACGGAAACTCGGGGACTGCGCCTACCTGATGAGCCGCGAGAAGGGCGAAACCGGTCGTGGGATGTCGAAGAGTTTTCAACAACCTTGTTCCCTTTACGAAAAGTATATTATTACTGTTGGGCTCATACGCGAAGCTAGCCTGTTTTGATAAGCCTGTTTAACTTTTGGGTTAGGAGGTTCTTCCTAATATACGAAGAGTTTCTCTCTAAGGTTCCCCAGGACATTTGTCCAAAAGTAGTATCAGGCATAAACGTGATTGCAAAGACGGATGGTCAAGAATGAAGCTCTTTCATCACCATTTAATGGTTACGTAATCAGTTTGTCCCCATAATTGCCTAGGTGCCAGTTAGCGCCGTGGTGAAAACTCCTACTGAAAAACAAGTGATGATCACCTCAAAGCTGTGGCATACGATCATTGTCATTACGCCTCGAGTCCAAGATAGACGGATCACCGTATCGCTTCTCTAATAAGCTGAGGAGTCCTACCTGTGCATTGAGGACGCCGGCAGCTAGGATCACCCGAACTCATATTACTGAATAACAGGTTAGTTGGTTCCTGTTAAAGGGCATCTACCGAGCACAGCAGTTGGCGCATACGCAGGAAATAAAAGTAACAAACGAGTATTGTTTCGGCTAGTGTATCTTCGCGTGGAAGTTAAACGGCTGGTACAAAAGTGACTATTTGCGGTAATTCATCCAGGTAAGAAAGTCTCATCTCAGGTGTTGAGAGCCGTGCCCACTTTGGCGCAACCCGCCGCAACAACTGATGAATCGCCCGAATTCCAATTCGACATTATCTATGTGGTGAAGGGGACGTAAGATCGATTAGAACACTTGCATCTTTTATTAAAGTTTTGGAAACGCAAGAGCTGTTAATTGATAGATTTTCACGAGTGAGTGTCATCGGTTGTTCCCTCTGATGCAAGGCTGACATGCTTATGACTGGAATTTACGGAGCAGTGGTCGGCAAGGGGCTGGGGGATAATATTGATGGAGCACTGAAGGCGCAGAAGTAGTCTGCTTTCTCTTGCTTGCTTTGTCCTATACAACTAATACCTCAACCCTCGTACTCCCTTTGGGTGACATGGCAGCTGAGCACCAAAAGTGTTGCGGCTGAATTATCATTATTAATCAATCGATAGTAGTATTAACAATTAAGGTGGTCACCTGGCTAGTGGCATCACACGACAGCCGATGTGTTGCGATTATTAGTATTCTTGCAGTTCGTGGTTGGGTGTAGGATGGGATACAACCAGGTCACTCGAACCTAGACAGGAAGATTATTAGAGGCTGCAACTAAAGTCGTTGACCCAAAAGCCTGACCGTATACCAGTGGCGATTAGCGTAAGACTTCCAGACTAGTTCAACCTTTGATGAAAAGTTGACCTACCTGCCCCAACCACGCTAGCCGAGGGGACAGGAAGCTGTGGTTGTTCAACTTCACTCTTGACCAACCGGGTATGATCGGCCCTGGGTCCCAAGCACAACCCCTCAAGATATCTCAGTGGATCATTGAAGCCTAGAAACCGGTAAGGTCCAGTGTCTATTTAGGGCACGGACACCATCTCCATTTCCGATCTTAGGGCATGATTTGTAGGCATGCGCACTTTCCGTTATTGCTGAGCTGGTTTCACCTTTTATTCGTCATCCTCATAATCACCATCATCGACGTCTGACGCTTTCGCTTCAGACTAGCTGGAAGGAGAGTGGAGTGGTAACAAAAGTGAACGTCTCGCCTGTGGCTTCGATCTTCAAAAAGAGTGCAAGAGCAACCGGGGAGTATATCTGTCGGCCGTGGTTTCCCAATTGCTCTTTGGTATTGCGCGTCGACTGACCTATCGAGGGTCGAATTCGTGAAAATCAAGCCGAGTTGCGTTCTGGAAAAAATTGTATCGATCATGTCTCCACTTTTCAATAGATTCGTGAACTGCACAATTTCTTCCGATGGCTAACGATAATCCGTCTAAATTAAAAGTCTTCTGGTACTGTTGACTTCCAGAAAACGACAATCTAGCGATGAAAGACGCTCCGGCGAAATTGTGGTGTCTCATAAGTGCTCTATATGCAGTGGACATATATGTGATTTTCGATGTCAGAGGATCTTCCATCGGTACATCCTCCCATATCAATGATAAAATATGTCCAGTGCTGTTTGGCATCGTTACAGGAATTACGCCATTTTGCTCCTTGAGCTGTTCAAACTTAAAGCCGTCACCCTGTTGTGGTAGTCGGGCTTCAGTGCTGTGATGATCGTGCGGGATATATTTGCGGGAAATCAATTGCTAAAGGTCGGTTCATTCTGGAAAGGCCGATGGGGAGCAGCCCGACGAACAGCGAGCCTCCGTGCTGGGAGAAATCGTATTGAGAAGCTGTCTAGAGGTAAAGTCTCTGATAGAAGTGTTGGGGTTCAGCAGTGACCAGGTTCAGTTGGGTGACCAGCATATCCAGAGCTATATGCAACCAGCTATGCTGAATTTCCCACAGGAAAGACGAGTCGGAAAACGTTGGTTCTAGAAATCGCGCAATCTGACCACCCAACGATTGACTGACCAGCGGCGCTTTGTTCAATACAATCGAGACCATAGAGTCTGGAGGCACTCAAAGTGCATATGCTGTGCGCAGCTGCATTAGGAGTCAGATTGTTATGCCTTACTGCGTCCTCGGGTTAGGTGGGTCAGACTACTGCACCATTGACTCCTGAAAGGGTCCCGCAAGAAAATCCCAATATCCGTTACCTTGCGGTTTACACCTTTAAGTCGGAGGCTTGGGGAAGGACCCCGAGCAAAACCCGCATTTCTGTACTGTCTCGTAGGTCAAACTATTAAGTCAAAGGCTCAATGCTGGGTGCTTCAACCACATCCCTTCTTTGGTGTGGACAACCTTGAGGTATCATTCACTGTTAGGGCTCTTCATTCGCCAACAGCTCCCGAAACGTCTCCCATCTAAGTCCTTCTGGTCTACTTAGTTGTTAGTCACCTATCCCTTGCTTTGCATTTAAACTTCTAGTCAGTGAAACGAACAAAATACACCCTTTCATTCTCTGGGTCAGTTTGAGAAACAGGTAGCTCTTGTTCTACCTTGTTCTCTCGATCGATGTATGTTGCGCCTACGAAAGACGCATAAGAGACTCCCGCACTATTTGGGTGTCCAGTGTTCCTAATGCAATTACTCGCAGTATCTGCCACTTTGCAACCATTTCTGGTATTCTTGGTGATATTCTTTGTTTCTTTTCCTTGTATGTTTTATGACCCAAACGTATTGATTCCCGTGGTTAAACGCTAAACAGTTGGGGTGACGCTGTTCCTATCTTTTTTTTTGTAAATCAGACATCAAGCACCACCATTTGCCCGTGGACGATCTATCGCCAGCGAATTTGTCGATAATACAGAAGGCCATGAAAATAATACAGGATGCTGAAGCGAAGGAACAAGTGAGTGGGATCCGGTTAATTTGTCATAAATGGTGAGCTTTTTTAAGATAAATAGCCAACTGATTGTGCCTTGTACCGGATCAGAAGGCGTTGTGTTGCATTTGATTTCAGCTACAGCTGAGCGAGTGGTTTCTTGTAGCCATCGGCTACTCCTAAATGATTGTGATATCTTGAATTCACTACCGCCGGGGACGCGGTGTGTGGGCCAAAATCTAATTTTCTATAATCATTCCTTTGTTTGATCCCATGAACGTTGCAATGCCGGCAGCATTGTACCTTAGAAACTTCACCCTAGTTTTTGAACTCTACTTTGGTACCAACAAGGATGTTGCGTATGACCAGTTGATTTTGCGTGTAGTTCTACGGATTTCGTATGAAGACCCGTCACTCGATTAGCTAGTCAAAATCGGTTGATATAATAACAATGATAGTAATTGCCCAGCTGTAACACCCCTTCGGTCCCAGTTGCCATGCCACCCGGAGGAAGCACGAGGGCTGGGATACTGCCAGGTTGCCCAAGCCTAGACAGGGGAAGTCGAAAGGCAGAGATCGCGTTCAAACCACGAACCTTCCGGTCGACTTTAAATGGAGCCCTTTTATATCGAACTTTCTACAGTGAATCTTAATACGCAATAACCAAAGGAGAACGTCTGTCCCCACTCCGAAATAAGAACCCTCAATATTACATTAGCTTCAGTGTGTAACTAACCCGCCTGGAAACCGCGCGTAATGTTCTTCTTGCTTGTTAACTTTCAGGTACCCTCAGCTTGCATAAACAGTGTAAACTGTGTGTAAACAGAACGGTAACGCCTCCCTAGTAAACTGGTATTCTATTGGAGTGCTTGGTTCAGCTGTCAAAAGCATGCCTAAAATTACTGCACTTTCGCTATGATTCCACACTTGTATGTGACACTTCCTGAAAAAGTGTCTAGTGTGGTTCTTCAAAGAATAGGATGTGGGAAACAGGTTAAAACCATTAAGTTCAACTAAGTGTGAGCAGAGTTTCTGTCCGGCACTGGTTCATCTGTTCTACTGTTAAAAGTGCATTTAAAAACATTGGGGAACGTTGAGAACACAGCTTGTGTAGAAACATCATTTTGTTTGTTGACATTAACGTATGCATTGTTAAGGTGAGTAAACTACCGGTATCGGAGCGCTAAAACGCGCGAAAATAATTTGGGATCATAATATTACCAATGCTACTACTATGAGAATCTTATTTTTTGGTTCGGGAGTAAGTGGACCTGGTTTTTTTATGGAGGGAGTGTGAAATCCCCATAGAAGCCTATCTGACGGCATTGGGATATACAAAACCCGATACCTTCGGATGGTGGTACTTTTTAGACTTATGTGTAACAGTGAACATAGAGTTGATTTTATTTTGCCCTCAAATAACGTATGCCAAGTTTCTGTCAATGGCGTTTTCTTTCACTCAAGACCACCCGTTGTTCGGTTAAAAAGCAAGCAGACGTTGATAGTGTGGAGGTCTTTTGATGCACATAGGTTCATTAAACTGTGGCTTGAGGTCATTACAATCATTGTTCAAATCTGCTCTACGTGGTATATCATTGGAGCATTTGCCAGCCTCAGTGTAACCCCGAGTAACAGAGGCTGTTCATTTTCACTTTAAGGGAAGTGATTTCCTTGAGCTACTTCCACCGGATCATCCGGCCACCTAGTCAGAAATTTGAAGATGACCAGACGTGAAGTTCGGATGTTCCTAGGAGTACCTAATCTACGGTATGGGACCTGGATTCACATCGAGGCCTTGATAGCTTTACGTTGGATGAGATTTCCGTTGGTCCCTCTCAATGATTTTGTAGAGACGTGTCATGGAAAATACCGGGACTTCCTAACATGGAAAGTGTTTCATCGACTTCAAGATGAATCGCTAAAATGCTGAGCTGACTTTGCAATTATAGACCACGTCTTCTAGGGGGAACCTGTATGCTTTTGCCACTCTGTTTACTCGCATTTTTGGGGTAAGGATCTGCGTATTGTGCTGCGATCAATCATGCAGCTGTGAGTAGCAAGCTAATAACTTTCAGATGGTTTGAATAGTTTGAGTAAAACAGGGCCGATATTCGTTGGAACCCGTCAAATAAACTGAGCGACTGAAAACAGCTGGTTGTTGAGTGGGATTTCCTAGCTATTTCTCTTCGAATCGCTCAGCCACCTGTTTTTCACCAGAAGCCCGAATGGGCAGGCTGAATCACGGTCTTAGAAATCCTATACCTAGGTTACATTTCTTTTTGAGGTGTTTTGTTTCCAAATAACCTGGAACGAATGTTAATTTGTGAATTTTCCTTACCTAGAAAGGTTAACAGGTCCCCTTTACATACCAACCACTTCGTAATGCTAGCTGTTGTTTGTTGAATTTGCCGTTAAATTTCGTACGCTTTACTGTGTTCTAAGGTCTTTTGGAGAACTTTTCCAATGAGCTTTGTGATCAGCATATTTTAGGAGCATGCTATGTTTGTCCGCCATGGACCTCAATTAGATACCCGATAACTTCACATCATGGATTCCTGACAGGGCCCATCACTCCTGAGTGGTGAACGCTCCAGGTCATCGCTCTTTCCGTCGATTTTCTGTTATCTTAAATCCATCCTAACCTCACGCTCATGGTCTTTTTTAGAAAGGTCTGGAGGACAATGGGTAAACGACAAATCCACCTATTGCTTACCAAACCTACTGGATAAGTTGACTTCTTGATCGGCTCGGGGCGTTTTCCAACTGATACTGTTCGGTCTAACTTCGGTAGGGAAGAAAGTAGTTGATATTTTGGACCTTATTTTGTCTGCAGCTCATCCATAAGATCAGGACCAACCAAAATCGGTTAAAATGAACAGCTGTTACTGTATGGTGTCTTCACTGTACTTTCCTCTGTCTGTCAGTTACTCATGTTCTGCAAATCCATAGGTCCCTTCGCCAGCAATTCACCCCCGTTCACATTGCAACGATGACTTGTTGTCAGTCTGGTCTCATTCTTCATTAGATGATACAAGCAAGACTGATCATTATTGGATCCGATTCTTCGTTCAGCTGGAGAGCTAGCGGAATGTACAAAACACGTGGTATCGATAACTTTTTGAGAGCCACTATTTCGCTGTGTGGCGAACACCTACAACAAAATTACGTTCTTACCGTTTTTGATAGTTATGTGAGGTCTGGTTGGTTCGCACTATCATGTCTGATGCTTATCTTCATTTCTGCCCAAAGAAAGTTGGGGTGCACTGTCAGCTGGGTCGCGGACGTGCTGGGACAATCCTAGCCTGTTACTTGGCAAGGAAGAATGGATGGGATGCTGACACAGCCATCCGGGAACTCCGACGCCTTCGACCCAAGTCAATCGACGTCGATCAAGAACAGGCCGTCCTGAAATATGTGCAATCAATTCGATCATAAGGATGATACTGTCATGTACTGTGCAATAAAAGTCCTTGATTGTATCCTCGTTTGCATGTACTTTTGATGTGCATAGCTGCATGTAGTGGCTCACTTGTTCAAGTTTATTCGTCTCTCTTTGGTAGCTCTTTTAGCTTGTTTATGCCTTGTACGTGCAACATCCACATCCGCACTAACAGTCGTCCTAGCTGGTAATGAAGTGTTTGCAAGCAAGTTACCCAACTCAGTAACCAGATGATTAGCTGCCAGATGTCGTGTTTCACACTCGGTATTTCTCAACACATTTTCATTCCGATCAGTGTTGCTGTGCCGTGCACACTAGGTTGTAGAAATCAACTGACCGAAAAGAATTGTATTCTAATCGTTCTGCATAAAGCAAATTTCATGAAATAACATGGTCACAGATATTTCAATCAACCCGAATGCATCCGATTCAGGATGCCTTCGTGGGACGAAATTCCGTCAAATTAACTAAGACGAATAAAAACTCATGGACTACACTGTTGGAGTGTTTTGTCATTGTTCCCACGTGCATAGGTTTGTTGACAGACTTCGTAGTAACTCAGCTGAGATACTTATAGTGGAAGGACCCTCCGTTTGGTCGGATAGGTAGTGGACTTGTCAAGTTCATCTTTCCACAGCACTGATTAGTTACATTCATCTGCAGAAGTATCTCAGCTAACCCACTCTGTATCCGGCTGTAGGATCCTCTTTTCAGCCGGATGATTCCTTCTTCACCGACCCCGGGCATCTTTCGGGCGCTGTCTGCGGTGGGGAAGTCTGTAAGGAAAAGGTGCATTTGTGATACAGCGTAAATCCTTTTTTAGCAGAAATTTGTGATCTAATAAAAGATTTATGGGCCTAGCTAGTGGGTGATAACAGCGCTTTGAAGAATCTCCGGCGGTTATATGGGCTACTTTTCGTCCATTAGATATTTTCATCATAGCGGTGTGACATTTTGGATGTACGAGTTTAGCCAACAATTCTTATACCGCCCTCTGAATCATCATCCACTCTATTGGGAAGATAAGTTGAGAACTCACGTTCAGGTTGGTAGACACTTCTGTTTCGTGCAATAAATGTTCTTTTGAAACAGTTTCGGAGTGCCCGCATGCGCCGCTAAATTTTTTGGTCGAAACGTGTATCTTGTATGTGCCGCGTGGAACAGCACTGACTTCAACGAAGGGTCCAGGACAATTTCGCTGTTCGTCGGTGAAATAGCAGTCGTTTGGCGCTTCACGACATTGAAGACTGATTTGTGGTTGTATTTTAGGTTGGCATTCTTTTTCCGCTTTGCCCGGTGAACTAGAGTTCGGGGTGAAATTTTTTGAGTGCTTTGATCCACATCCGATATCCTTATTCTGTGTGGTAATAATATTTATATGAGAGTCATTTTCTAGTGCGGACAGTGGTTCAAATGCATTTGAAAGTGTTCATCTTAATTCTCTGGACACCTGTGTAACAGAGGTCTCTACCGGGTGTTGACTTAGGGGAATATATTCGATGCTGGTAATCCACCATCCTCATCAACCCCAAATAGAGTTTAACTTAAATTTTTTTGAAGTATGCCATAGATTTGTGTAGCTTAAATATGCTGGCGTCTAAGCCTGAGTATAATTTTCTTGCTTGGGTGGACCAAAACAGTGAGCGTTCCAAACTAACATCTTTATCGACTATAATTTTCACGGAATTTTAGCGGTTTTCCTCCTTGGTAGCTTGGATTTCACCTATCCACTCGTTCACTTCACTCCTTTTCTCAACTGTTTTGTCTACACAACAACTTTCTCAAGGCTGCTCGCATAAACAAAGTAATAGGTAAGCTGTAACAGCTTGGAACGGCCCGACGTTCATTTTTTGGACAAACAACAGTTTAAAGAATGTATTGTCAACATAGACGTACAGTTCAACCGGGGCCCTCTTAGTCCACGCCAATTTACGGGCTGGTTTACACGCATATCCGCGTGTATCTTAATAAACAAGTCACGTTTGCGCTGCTGCGAGTGTCGATTCTTTCACTGAATCACCGTTCAAATTTCGGGCATTCCTGTTGTCACTTAGTCGGCCCAAATCACCTGCGTCCAGTGGTTTACTTTTTATGCGTATGCTCAGTGTAAGGGCTGAGCCTGACCGAATAGCACTTGTCGGTCGTTCGAGATTGGGCTTTACATCACAGTGAGCAGAACAGCAAGCCAAGGAGCAACGTAGGCGTTGCGAAGCGCAGTAGTGTCAGATGAAACTATAGCGACGGAATCTCCTGAGATCCTGATGCCAACGCTAGATGAGTTTGTTTGTTATCAACCCCAATGACCCGGCAGTTTCCTGCTTTTACTGCTTTGGGTTTTATACCCAGGATTGAAGGGGCACTTATCAGAAACGCAGGACTGCATTCCTGGCAGATGTGCTCATCCAGACCCGTCAGGCTGCAGTGAGGGCTGTTTTGTTGTATGGATGTGAGACCTGGCCTGTTCGAGCAGCGGAACAGACGTCTTCAGGTGCTCGACAACCGCTGTCTCATAACCATCGCTCGTATGGGTTCAGAACGAGGCAGTCAAGAAGCGAGCTTTCGGTTGTGCAACGATGACTTCCGTTGAAGCATTTGCTTAGCACCAGAAGCTGCGTTGGTTATGCTGTGTGTTGTGCACGCCAAACCATCATTTGCCGAAGAAGGTGCCTTTTTCCGTGCCGAGTTCTGGGTGGTGGAAGCAGAGTTGACCAACCCTTGCCTTGGCAAAGAGCTATGAAAGAGATAACGAAGCGTTTGGGTGCTGTCAGTGCTACTCGCCTTCCAGGATGGGGACCGGGTGATCCCAACTGCGCCTGGCTGAAGACGCTGCAGGACATGGCTGCCAATTTATGCCACTGGTGTTCTTGTTATCAGTTTCTACCTGGTTTGCCTAAATGAGTGTCTGGAGGAGTAGACACCTCGGAATGATTGTAGTAAGCTAGCACTAAGTCCCTTCCCCATCCACTTTTATCCTTTTCTTCACAATAAGGCTTTCAAAAAAATCATGATTGTGCGGCAGCGAAGCATCTTCGTTGAACACGATGTCTTTCGGTCGATGATTCAGTCAATTCAATCCAATTCATCAGCTATAAACCATGTACCATAGGCACATCGGTTCCAGCTACTACAGTTTCGATTACCGAAAAAGGTCGACGATGATGACAGAAAATGCGTGACTTGGCAAATTTGATGATGTGTTGAATATAACTAAGGGAGGCGGATTCTAGTGGTGTTTTCAATGCGTTGCATCCAGGTAGAGAGGGGTGATCGTCCCGAGTTTCTTAAATTGGCAATTTCTGTATGCCCTTCTGTTATCTTCATACAATAGGAGGCCTCTCATAGATGGCAGTTGGCCTACGAAATTGGGGGAAATGGTTCACTATATTAATCCAGCCTTTTTCCCTTCAAGATGATATAGTGTTTAATCTATCTGCTTGAATGAACTCTTGCTCGTTTATTCAATCGCTAGGGCTGTGAAGGGAGTTAGCATGGATTGATAATGATCGACATCCTATTTTGTGTATTGGTTTCCCCAACAACTTCCGTTGTCCTCATTATTTTCGGGCCGCCGCCACGCAGGCGTAATTTATTGAAAAAAGCCATATAAAGGCAAATAGGGAAAGAAATGATCTTGCTTCAGCTCAGTATCGGCATTCCATGGTCTCAATGTCCACAACTACTTAATAGAACCTAGGTGGAATTGAGAAAATTGATATGATTATCATGGATGAGCACTTGTACCTCAGTATTTATGAACAGACAAAGAGGGTGGCGAGATAACATTGTGTTCACATTTGTAAGGAAAAATTCACCTGTCCAGACCACTGTCGATCTCTATAAGATTATGCGTTCATCGAGGAATATTGTGTATGGATTTTGAGTACTACAGTGGTATCCTCATAGCTAGCTAAATGCGTATACCAAAGTTCGGTCTTCTGTTGACAAGAGTTTCAACACCGTACTGTTCTCCAGTTGATCATTTTAGGAAACTACTGATTGTGGTCTTACACATCCAAAGCTTCTGAAGCATTTCCCCAAAGGTATTTGCAGTGTTAAAGAATTCAGTCATGTTTCTACTGCCCTGGCCAACAGTTGCGTGAATCGCCCCCGAATCAATTCGATGCAGCACAGCACTTCGAACATATGATAACGATAAAGCTGCACCCACTTTTGAGTGGCACCGACGCAGCGTTGACCGAGTTTTCACATGGATGTATGTAGGCTGGTTACCTCTTGAGCATCTTGACCTCGTTCGGGTTGACGGTTCGCCTGCCCGGGGTTCCTCATTGTGGACCTGATTTGGTGTTGTAGAAACTGGCTGTCAAGGGAAATGATGATGATTCAAATGGAAACAATGGCATTTGGAAAAATAACGAATCGGATGATAATCTTTGGGTCACAGCATCGATGCTGCATACTGACGCTCCACTACCGCACGATTACCATTTATTTGTGGTGAAGGAAGTACTAAGACATTAAAGAACATAATTGAAGTACAAACTCTAAGTTGCATAAAACGAGTTCACTGGTAAGGTTCATGATCGTCGGGTTACCTTAAGCTTGACAGTGAACCTATCGACATGCTCTGCGGGCCTCTGCAAATGCAATCACGTTCTTGAAATGTCTTTTAGGTAACCGGGAGACATCAACCTCTAGCCCAATGAGAAACTCACATCAAAGGCTCACTAGTGGAGCCTGCGGAAATCAACGGTTAGATCCACTAAGCGGAGTGGTGACGAATCAGTGTGTAGCTCTGTATCTGTGCGATGTGGAGGCGGATCTGGCGTTGGCAGATATTCTTGTTCACTCTAGGTACAGTTTCACTAACAGCCAACCGCCTCGGCCCACTTGGTCGGATTAGCTGGATCAAAGTGCAGTTGTTCCCCAACGGAAGGGCTCTCTCCATTTTTAGTGCTTTTTAGGATTCACCCGCGCTCTCTGTTATTCCACAGACGCTCCACTATTCGAATTTTTAGGGATTTGTGCATGCCATCCCAGCCATTAGTTGCTGGTGTAGTTACTGGCTCTGACGAGATCAAGTGTTCACTGGGGTTTAGAGAGTTTTCACCTTGCATGACTTCTTTCACCTTTCTCTAATCATCATCCAAGTCACTAATAAAGTCATCGTACTTGTCGAGTTCTGGAAGCTCCTCAGCCAACCCAACTGGATATTTCTGAGCAACCGATGTTTTTAAGGTGGTGAGCTGAATCACTTTACACCAACCAATGTGCTGTCTAGAGGAAGCGAATAGACACACTGCCCGCACACTGCCGTGATCGGACTTTATAGATATACTCCAAAATGGACGCCACTTATTGTGGAAGCTCTACATGGCTAACTGATTTTCACATGATTCAACTGGGCACGCGGCCGGTGCGCCGTTGATGGCCTCCAATTCATATGGTGCGAGGACTTGTGCTTTACTTTTGTGCTAGATAGGAACAAATGCGCAACACATCGTTGACGAGGTCGCTCCCCATTGTGCCTCAGGTCAGGGTTGTACTCAAATCGGTTTCCAAGATGGTGCTCCTCATCACGTAATCGGTCAGTTACGGAAATCACAGTTCCTGTACTTCTCGCTGACCGGTGAGATCTTTCCAACTCACGATAGGAGAGGTGCTTCTCTGTCTCGGAGCTGTCGTCCGTCGGACAATATGCAAAGTGGTGAACTAAACGCCGTTTCCCGCATTGTGGTTTGTTGGTCTTGATTGGGCCAGTCAAACTAACGGTGCAAAGACGAATATTAACGGACTTCAGTCCAGTAAGTGCAATCACTTCTGAAGCCAAGCAATTCTTCAAAATAGATACCACAAGGCATCGCATTAAGGTCATGCGAAATCAGGAGTGTAAAGGGTGGCTTGAGGTATATGACCGGTATGTATGTTTCAGAGTCAACTACGTCATTCGAAGGTGAAAACGATTTGAGTAATGGCTCTTTACTGTGGAATTTTATATAGTGTGCACAAGTTGCAAATGCCAATATGGAACGGATCCCTTAAATTCGACATCAATCGTCAGAAGCTTAGAAGCGGATAATTGGTTAGGCGATTGTCAGCCAAATAAATGAGAACGAATTGGACAAGAGGCGTATCGGAAAGTATTAGTGAATGAAGAGCCGAGAGGGGTTTGGTTGAGATACCCCGCCTTGAGCCTCTGACTAAAAGCCTAACCAACAAGGCAGTGGGGGTTGAGATACCCCACCTTGAGCCTCTGACTAAAAGTCTAACCAACAAGGCAGTGGGAAAAGGTGGGGTTCTGTTCTGGAACCATTTGTCAAACCTCTGACGAAAGTATGAACTGCAAAGCCGTGTTTGTTAGGGCTCGCCTTATAGGTAATCCCAAGAGCCAGAGGTTCAACATTCGGACCAACTTGACTGCAGGCAGCTGGCCTGGTTAGAGACCGCAGAAAGACAAGTACTTGACTCCTAATGTGATTGCACGCAGTATGTGCCTTTGGAGAAGCTCCGGACTCAATGATTTTGGAAGTATTTTGAGTGTAGTGAATAATACACCGGCTGCTACAGTCATTCGCTGGGCGATCAGAGTGCAGCTTCATATCGCGGAGACTTTGTAATATGCTTGAACTGACCGTTCCTATGGCGATTGGGTTTTCAAGGATATTCTCAATGCGTGTCGTTCTAGCCCATATTCACCTTTTTTCTGGGGCGTTGACCCTCACTTGCCGGTAAAACTTGATTCGTACATGTAAAATACATGTCATGTGCCATTACTTTGACAGACAGCAGTAAAATGCTCACTTCTGACTTAAAATAGTGCAGCTTACGAGAGACCACTAAGAACATTCGTTTCCCTATTTTTTTTACTTCCATTCAACTTATGATATTCCGACTGCATAACACAGTTTTTCACCAAATACTGCACTGATTTCAAATTAATCCATCCAGCAGAACATGAGCAGCGCGCTATGTAGCGAGAGAGTGCGAGATGACATGGAGACTACCGCAAACTACATATATTTGCCTTTCTGAGCCCCCACACTTCTGTTCACTGAGATATTACCAATTTTGTCGCAACTAGCATGAATGCACAATGGAGCATTGGGTAGAGTTTCAACTTTTTCGCTTGTTGTTCACCCATCATGTACTTGCATCTAACCACTGATAGGTATCCACTGTGACAGTTTGTCAGAGGCTTTTTGTGCTGACCTTGTGGACTGAAAGACAACATCCATTGTTACCATATCACAATAGCCCTGCCCTCACGAAACAATATACAAGTATATCAAGAACAACTGATTTGTAACTTTTGGATGTTTCTAATAGTTTATACTGCAAAATAGGTGTAGGCGAATAGAAGCATTGTATGGCCACTTGCTAGTGTCGGGAATATCAAAGTTGGAATCGACAATGCCTAGGGAGTAGCAGGCGATCTACTCAAGAGCTAGTTGGCAATTTTCTATGCAATTCGTGAGTTATTTTTCGAGTTACCTGTGTTTGGCGCTGTGGCCCAAGGCCGTGACCAGATTCCGAAATCGACAGCTTCACACCCGAGTCCGTTTCAAACATTATGGATTCCGTTGAAGAAGCTGCACGTGGACCGTGGGTGTGCTGGTCTTTCTGGCGTTTCTGATCCAGACTAGATGATTGTTTGCGCGGCTTGGTCAAAAATGCAAACGGGACACGGAATTTTCGAGAATGATTTGGTTCTATTATCAACTCACTTCAAGTTGTGATTTACGGAAATCCTACGGCTTTTGAATTCGGCCACCACAGGGTAATATTTAAGCAAACGTACTACTTTGTCTATTTTTTTGACTGAGGGTACTGAATGTCATAAACATTGTTTTCCCTTAAAGCTCGTTGACGGTTACTTGGGAGCAAGCTGAAAGAAACCGTTGGATTCTCATCGACGTGTGTATGGCTTCAAAGAATGATTGTGCTGGGCCACCACCTTTGCGCATTGTGTGTTCTTACACTGCACATGGGTTAGTGAGGTGTCAGTGGCAATATAGGCGATTTTTTCTGATGATGATGTAATTTTCTGTAGTGATTTTCATGATCATGACGATAATTACAAGCCTCCCAACACACCACGGAACCCCAGTCATGGGCTACACTATAACTGGTGAAGAAAAAGGCTGTTAGGAGAGTTATCTGTGATGGTGTGCATTATGAATGAAGTGGGAGAGCACAATATCCTAGACAAACCAATTGATTTTAGTAAAATATCAGCACTTTTCCCGATTTTTTTTGACTATCCCCCGTGAACAACGTGCAGTAGTTTTTGTAAACTGATTTGGTTGATTTCAATAGCCAAGCTCCTGTCTTGCTCTCGTTGCAGCTGCTCTTCATCCTCAGCCCTATTACCATAACTGAATGACAGTACAGTTTATACGAGACTATCCGCTTGTTCCTTCCAAACTGCACCATGGTCAACAGAGACGAAATCCATTAAAGTGGATTGACGTTGAAAAAAACAATGCTGTGTTGTGTATAGAAGTGATAGGATTCTGGCGGTTAAAATCCATCTACAGATAATAACGTTCAACAGCCCGATGGACACAGATGTTGAGCTTCTGTAAGCAGTGCAATATCCCCACAGAATCCCCTGTTTTCTGGAATGCACATCAACCAAAAAGAGATAAATGAAATGATTCGTCAAAATGACCTACGAAAATTCTCTTCCTGTAGTTGAATAAAAATGTAATCAGAACATTCTGACTGGTGCTCGGTGAGAGTATTGTCTTCGTTTTCATTGAAGTGGAAAGTTTTGTTTACACCAACAATTTGCAAAAAATACGGAACAATTTCTGCCCAACAGTAGTGAACCTTCTACAGGTTTGCCTTGAAATTGTGTTTCGGGCTTATTCAGTTTGGATAAAAAAGTGTAAGCTTGATAGGCAGTTCGTTACGAGCTAATATAGGAATATGATATACGTTATCCAACAGGCTTCTGTGAAGACGAACAGGTTTAATCGAAGCGCAGTTAGTGACGAATATTTGGTGTCTGCCTCCTTTCATCGTAAAACATGTCGAGTTGTTTAAATTACGGGTACCGCTTTTGTTGACGTAATGCAAAGTTGCCCCCATCCGTTACTGAAAATTGACTCGTTCGGTCGAACATGAGGTAGATTTTTGCACACCTGTCCGAATTCGCTCGGAGTTAACCAGAGTTTTCTGTCATTTTGCATCAAACGGCATGGAAAAACAAGCAGTCATTTGCATCCTGGAAAGAGACATTAATCTACTAATCTTTGGATGAACTATCCACAGAAGAGACCTTTTCACAGTTCAAAAGGAAAGTACCCGTTTCATTTTCAACCCAATCTGACGTTGTGAATCGACTTTGGTTTATATTCTTGGGGGATTTGAAGTTTCCGAAAACTGCTAGAATATAACATTTATTTCGGCAAGTGTACGTTCGAGAGACTCTTGACCTAGCCGATCCATTTATATCTGCGGAGTTTCCGTAGCACTTACCCAGAAGAACGAGGATACAGAAACTCAGGTTACGTTGATCCAGGCATAGCGTGTTGGTAGGACGTTGGCCTTAATTTTTAGTGGACTGTTGCTATGACAACTACATGTGTGGTTATCATGCATTCTAGACAGCCTGACATTGATACGTGTGCCGTGTTTCTGACCCCATTTCTATGTTGGGGATGGAAAATAGAATCTACGGTCCTTGTTTGTTTAAAGCAACTCACGCACCAGAAGGATTGGTACGTACACACTCATCTGCGTGAGGAAAGCAGCATGGTTTTGCAGCTGCTGTATAAATTCGGAAATTTCAGGCTAGCTTGTCACCTTTGGTAACATTTCTTCTGATATGGACCCCGAGACGGGCCACATCAATGGCTAGGGACATTGTCAGACATAGCCCAGTCGCGCCCTCAATGGCGCTCGTACATCAAAGCTATTGCCTTCAATGCATAACTCCTTTTCCAACCCCCCTACTTGACAGCCCACTGACAGTGCTGGATTTATGCACCAATTTGCCAGCTCGCGCGTGCAATGCGCAGCTACCTACCCCCCCGCCCCCAAATCATCGGTGAACGAAACTGCGGCAGCTGCAACCAATGTACGACGATTGCGCGGTTCTTACAGCTGACAATGATGATGATGATGATGATTCCATTGAATCTCAGGATCCTGCAAAAGAACACCCCTCAACTTGAACTATGGACCAATTTTGGAAGCACAGGCTAGAAAGGAACCCCTCGAATGAGACCAAAATTCAGTCGGCTCAGTTCGATCTGTGTGCGGATGCCCCTCCCCTGATTTAGAGGGAAGATTACCAGACTCTGCAAACTTATGCTTACTTTCTGCATTTTCCGGACAACGCTGTTCAATACGCCTTCATATGCAGGCAAATGCAGAAACTTGGCATGATGAGTCGCTGTCTTCGTCGTATCAAAGCAAATAAGTAATATTGAGTTACCAATGCAAATCTAGCATCGTATTGCGCAGTATGACAAGACAACAAGATGGCTAAAAACACACCAGATTTGTACCGAAGCTATTTTATGCTTTCGGAAATAGCCAAAAGTGATTGGGGATGGTGTTCCAAACGAAGAAATACCACCAACTAGACACCCCCCCGTTATTCGTGTGCATAAGGTATCTCGAGTCTGTTGGAAACACAATGAATCTTCGTGGAATTCGTAACGTTTTCTCGAAATGCTGCGATACTGAAAGTGAATCCATTTGAGTGCATCGAAGAATTAACATAAATTTGTGGACAAATGAGATAAGCCGAAGAAACCAGTGGATCGAAAATTACAGGGAGGACAGTAAAACGAGAATTCGAGTGTTCGAGTTGTGAAAGTTACTGTCAAAACTTAGCTTAAAATTTGTACATAACTGGGAAAGTGTGTGCTGGACGTCACAAACTATTAGATGAGAGTGGTGGACCTCTGAGAAAAGCGCCACAATTTGAAAATTTTTGGGTCATGGAATAAGAGATAGAATGTTTCTTGTCGATCCTTTGTGAATGTCCTAGAATATTAGATCGAGTCAGGTAGTTTTATGACGACTGATGGCAGTGTCAATTGTCAAGTGTTGTATGTCATCAAAAAAGAGGCCGGTGTAAACTGAGAAATTCGTGGGTAGTGCTAGAAAATGACGCAGTCCATCCTTGAGAGAAGCAAGCCTCTATCAGATCAAATAGCTGGAATTCAATTTACATATTTTGACTGAATATCTGGATTCCGGTTACAGTGAAGGTCAATCGAGATAGTTACTAGTAAAAATTAACATGAACCTACCATATAGCTCGATGTTGACTGCCGGATTGTTTCGCTCACAGTATTGTTGGAATGTACCGTTAACGAAGTGGACGCTACAGGCCACTCCTGTGAAGTGTATGAACTGGAACTTCCATCTTTTCCAGTCGGTGTTTTCGGCAAGGTGGAATGGGTTTCGGATAGTCTAGGCTTTCGCTGGTAACATTTCGAAGAGCAGAGAAAAATTACAGTGGGAAATTTTTATTGCCCTTTGATAAAATCTTTGCGTGATGTCGGATAAAAATATAAATTTCAAGAAATTACAGCGGCTTGTCAGTAAAACTTTCTAGAACACAGTACACTGTCGTCGGAAAGTCTAAGTTGTGACTACCAAGGAAATCCTGGGAACCGGAAATCGTTTTGCAATTTTTAAGATGATTCTGCCCGTCAAAGTTTCACCTTTGTCAAGCATTTCTTCAGATTTCAGTAGACTTTTTGAGACTCGTTCATCCGGCGTGAATTACCATTGACAAGATCATATGTCTTAACAGACACCCGATTAGTGAACGGGCAACGAGTAGTCTGGAATTTACTTTCCGCATTACTTTTGTCTAGAGACAGCCTGAAATGCAAGCGCTGCAGTGAACTTTCCACAGGCCTGAAGAGAGTCGTTTGACGGGGGACTACCTGGAACGAATGATCGGATGGTTTTTCCACTTTTAGGTACATTCTTGCACTCCAGCATGTAAAAATTAACACTATCTAAGTCCATCGATTGTGAAAGCCTGCATACATTAGCTGCCAACACAGTGTTATATAGATGGTTGCAGACCAACCTCAAGGAAACCCATGCTGAAAATTTTCTACGGGGTACCCGAGGAACTCAACAATAAGGTGATCGCACTTAACAGGAGACTCGAACGAATCCATTTGAATTTCAATTTTGTGATGTTCTTTAGATCATCACATGTGTCGTATTATCGTATACATCGGCTGGGCATACCTGGATCGTTGGTACCACTGATGATTCCCTCGAGCTTGGAACACGATGATCTGATACGTCTTCCTGAGTGGTTCTAATATTAACCGTGACGTCCATCACTTCAATCGATGCATCACCGTTGTGTTTTGGCCTAGTTGCCGCGTTGAATAAGTCAACTTCATACGTGTCCATTTGAAGGGTGGTCATCTGTAAATATTGAAAGGTCGGACAGTGCGTGTAAATATCGGATGATCCGGCTGTTGACCGCAGTTTAGTGTGCAACGAATTACTCGTAAGCCTTATCCCAGCTGCTAGGACACCCATATTATAATTTGAAGGTTAAGAGTTTATCTCTACCCTCGTCTGTTGTCCATACATCGCAGTATCAGTGATTGCGCAGAACATAAGCTTGCTAACAACTCGTTGAACTAAATAGTAGCCTAAAAATTCGGTTTGGCTTCAGCTGATACTAGCCAAATTCGCAAGTGAGTGTGGTCTTAATCATAGTCAAGCGAGTTTCGCGAACTATCCAAACGTATAAAAGGAAAACATTGTTATTCGATACAATCAGGAAAATTTATGAGCTCACAGTGAACAAGTTATAAGTCTTGGAAAACAATTTGTCAGCGCGTTCGAAAAAAGCAGCCCATATATACCATATTATGTTACATGGGGTGCTGAGCAGACGTTTGCTAGAATGTCCTCCGTATGAAGTTCAGCTAACAAAAATGTGGTTATACACAAAGTAGTTAGTTTGACAAAGGCTGTTCCTTAAAAAGGAGTGAAGATTTATACTGGTGAAGAACATATCTTTGAAAAAACATAGAACGAAGGGGTTTTTCTTGTAAACTTTGGCCCCAGAGACGTTAAGCAGTGAGGTGTATTAAGTGCGGCGACTCACCGATTCAACTTCCTCTTCGGTATACGGGTTCGTTGGATTCAGTGGAAAGAGGACATTTGGGGATGAACCATCGTACTGCGGACCGGAATTAGATTCTTGGTGATCCTGAGCAGTGACATAAGATCGTGTCATCCAGTACTAGTATACATGCTCACAGACTAGATTCTAAAGTGTTCCACCTATTTTTGCATGGTCGTGCTTTTGTGAATACAAGTCATCCTCATTAAACTTCTGTAGAATACCCACACATTTCCCAGTCAAGGGAAATAAAGCCCCAAACAAAGACCAAGCACTGCCAAAACCAACTAAATGGAGCACGTAGGCTATCCCCAGTACTTGTTAGTGCGCGTAGAATATGTCCAAACGGCTTGTAGTTTTGCGGCAACCTGTGCTGTCTTTTCGTTTAAAAATACACGCATACCTAGTGGGCCCCGTTGTAAGTTCTGCTTCTTTTGCAAGGTGTCATTAATAGGAATTGGGTAAGATTGGCTTACCTGGTGAATGTCTCCACCTTTGGATCAAGCCATTACAGTTAGTTACCTGTTCTTCTACTCTTTGTCTCTGTGGCCTCGCACAGACCTTTTCTTGTTATTAAACTTTTTAGTAGAAATGTGTTCTGTGCAAGTTCTCATACCAGCACCGAATTTAGTTGGACAAGTTACCGAGAGTAGTATTAGAGTGATGGGTAAATTACAGCATTTTAGAGCGTAGAATTGGTGATACTACTGAAGTTGAAAACAGCACTATAACTGCCGCGTTTTAGGCTGAACTGTCACGATCACAGACCGGTATATTTTGGCTTATCTCAGACCTGAATCTGGTTTGGGCCTGAATCTTTCATGTAAGACCCTCGGTCGTCGGCTGCTTAGTTAGTAACGTGAACCATTCTGATTCCAAACCGATTAACGATGAGCGATAGGCACAAGTAATTTTTAGGCCATCATATTTCACGCGAAGCCTCACTGCCTATCTGAAGGACAGCGATGGTAGAGGTACACCAGTGTTTTACTATTTCACTAGATGTTTTCACTCAGACGCCAAGAAGAAAGCGCTGCATTATATAGGCGTAACACAATTCTCATAGGGTGGCTGAAGACGCTTCGACAGTACACAACGGGTTTCGGATTTCGAAGCGTTTTCTGCAACCTCATGAACAGCGAAAACCAAATAGGTATTCAGATGAACGCATTTCTCAGAAGAGCACTATTGACATTCGGAACATTGGAGATTCGCATTCGGGTTGGAATATTCATTGGGAGGGTGATTTTAGATTCAAAAAGTTTCGTCTGCCCATAGTTGGGGTTTTTTATAATGAAACTCAGTACGAGTGTGCAGGACCTATACCTTATGTGGCTTGGTATTACAGAACGACAAACTGAAAAAACAGGCAACAGCATGTATGGTGGACGTTTGTTTAGAAGAGGCATAGACATCATAAAAGCATCAGGTCCTTTAGCTGGCTCAACATACTTCAAGTAATAAAAAGGGGGAATCCAATTATGTTGAAAGACTGTAACGTACCTTAACTTGCTGGCCTACGTATGATCCCCTTCGACAGGGTGGCGAACTTTCACCTGTCCTTGGACAGTCGCAATAAGACAGTTCCGTCTGAAAGATGAATAGTTTTAGTAAGAGGATAAAAACACGGGCTGCATTCAGTGTTTCACAGCAAGAAGGGGTAGAGAGATATATAGAGTGCAGCTGAGATAAAAGAACACAGAGTATGAAGACGATTTTATTGGCCCAAGTTTCCGCCTGTAGCGAATGCCTCTCAGCCGAATACTCACAACCAGAACAAATGAATCACCAGATCAGACTTTCATTTCTATAATTCATCTAACTAGCCAAACTGTTAGAAGTGTTGGTGCAGCAGACAATGGGTAATAACCGCTGAGGAGTGTCTGTGGGGTTTTGCTTATCAGCTCAGACATTGCATTTATGGGTTATTCTGGCTGATGAAACGAGATTCTGTGCAGCGTCGTTTTTTGTGGAACGGGAGACTAAAGTGAAGCAAATTGGCGTGACTGAACAAAAAACCTACGGGACGAAATCTCCACAAAAAATTCCCAAATCTCACACTACCAAAAATCTATAAGTAGATCGTTGGAAGAATAAACTTCACCCGATGAGTGTAACGTTCATCTGAGAAGTCGTTGATTGAGGAGCCAGTCAACAGGTGTGACCGCGTGATTTGTATCCCCTGACTGAAGGACGAGGGGCACCATATGCTGTCTAGGTGCGACTTAATCACACTGCTGATAAGCCGATGGTGGCCGAACGGTCAAGTATTCAAGCCACTGGCCTGGAGGTTGCGGGTTCGAGACTCTCCGGAGTTTAGTGAGATGCGCACTGCTGATGATTCCCAATAAGGATGAAACAGCTGTACAGTGCTTCTCGGTTTTTTAGTATAGATTGGCTTCGCTTACAATGCGAAGTCTCCATAAAATTCCCAAATCTCCTCACACCACCAAACTATACTCCTCTGACAGTTCAAGCGGAGAACCGACCAATTTTCTTCAGTTTCAGTTGGTTTGCTAACGTTTTGGTAACAGGCATGCATGACCTGACTTCGGCAGGGATAATCCCGCTTGCTGCGTTGTTACTC